CCCCCCCCCCCCCCCGCTCCAATCTGACACGCAGGCGGCACGAAGCGTCCCTGCCCGCTCCAAACCGAAACTGGAACCTTCCCCACCTGCTCCCACGTGACACCAACCCGGAAGTGGAACCTTCCCCACCTGCTCCCACATGATACCAATCCGGAAGTGGAACCTTCCCCGCCCACTCCTACCTGACGCCAACCCGAAAGTGAAACCTTCCACACCTGCTCCCACGTGACACCAACCCGGAAGTGGAACCTTCCCCGCCCGCTCCTACCTGCTGCCAACCCGGAAGTGGAACCTTCTTCCCCCTCACCAAAGTGAAAGTGAAACCATCCCCACCTGTTTCCGATTCCAGAACCCAAACAGATCCCAGAACAGAGGGGACAGAAGGGGTGGGAGGTGAGGGGGGGTGCACGGGGGTTGTGACCAAAGGGCCAGCAGGTTTGCCCCCCAGAGGGGATGGGATGGAGATGTGGGGACATGGGGACAGCTTTGGGCCACCAGCAGGAACAGGGGACGGCGTGGGGACAGCAGGGACCGTATGGAGGGCTTTGGAGCAGCGCTGCCTCTCATGTCCTTGTCCCCATGGTGGGGGGTCTTGGTTTCCACAGGGCCACCATGGCCATATAAAGGGGTCCTGTTGTCCCCAAAGCCACCGCAACCACAGAACAGAGTGCTGGTGTCCCCATGGGGGGGGTCCTGGTGTCCCCAAGGCCACCATGACCACATAAGGGAGTCCTGGTGTCCCCATGGAGAGGGTCCTGGTGTCCTGAGGCCCACCATGACCATATAGGGGAGTCTTGTTGTCCCCATGGGGGGTGACCAAGGCAGCTGCAGCGTCCCAGGATGGTCCCTGTGTCCCCAGGGCCAACACTGCCATGTCCCCATCACCCCCCATTTGTCCTCATTATGTCCCCACACCCCTCTCCTCCAAAATTGAGGGGAGATCAGACATTCTCACCCACCCCCACCCTCCAAACCACCAAAACCACCAAAATTCTTTTTTTTGTTGTTTTTTTTTTGTGCGTGTGTGTGCAAAAATAAACCCTCATTTAACCCCGAGTTGCCCGCGCCGCCGGGTACCGGGGGGGTCCCGATGTGTCCTGTCCCGGAGCCGCCGAGGGGACACTGGGGGATCCTGGGGGGGGTCCGGGGGGGTGAGAAGGAAGGGCTGGAGCTGCAGCTGCTGCCGGAGGAGCCCGGTGAGGAGGAGCTCAGCTGAGAGGAGGGGGAGGTGAGCCCCCAGCGCCGGCCCCCAGCACCCTGCATCCTCCGGGCAGGAGATCACCAGTCTGCGGGGCTGGGGGGATGGGGGGGTTAGTAAAACAGCAGGACCTCAATGGGATCCCCCCACACCGAGATTCCCCCTCATCTCCAGCTAATGGGAGCCCCAATCCCCCCACATGTGCTCCTGATGTCCTCTAATGGCTCTGGGATCCTCCGCCATCCCCACTGTGCCCTTTCCAGGGTCCCCAACGTCCCCCCAGGATCCCCTCGGTCACCTCCTCCATCACTGGGACCCCAAAGTCCCCTCTGTCCCCTCCCCATTGGTTCTAGGACCCCAGCATCCTTTCAATACCCCTTTGGTCTCCTCCCTGGTGACCCTCGGACCCCAGTGTCCCCTTGGTCCCCTTCCCATTGGCTCTGGGACCCCAGTGTCCCCTCTCTGGTGGCTCTGGGACCCCCAAATCCCTTCAGTGCCCCTTTGGTCCCCTCTGCGGTGGCTCTGGTATCCCAAAGTCCCCTCAACGTCCCCTGGTCCTCCCCCAGCATCCCCACATCCTCATCTGCCCCTCACCCCATAAGTGCAGGGCATGGCGGGCAGGAAGGTGCCACCGCTGCAGGTGATGATGTCCTTCATGTGCTCAGGTTCGGGGCGGACGCTGGGGGTGACGTGGACCTCGTAGCCCTGGGGACACGAAGGGGACACAGAGGGGACACAGAGAGGACATGGAAGGACACAGAAGGGACACAGAAGGGACACGGAAGGGACAGGGAGAGGACATGGAAGAGACATGGGGTTGGCCCGCATCCTTCAGTCCAGCCCTGGGCCCCCACCATGGCTCCTGGGGACATTTGGGGACACCACAGGACCACGTGTGGCCCCTTGGGGACATATGGGGACATTTGGGGACGGTCACCTGCAGCAGAGGGCGGCGGCGGGCGCGGCTGAGAGCCTGGGACAGGCTGAAGCCAAAGTGCTGCTCCTGCTGGCTGTCCTGCACCAGGAAGGGACCCGGGGGAAGGACGCGGCCGCTGCGGGCGCTCTGGGGACACAGGGACAGCATGGTGACACCCTGGGCTGCGGGGATGTCCCCTGGCCCCTGAGCCCCCCTCCATCCCGAGGAACTCCCCGTGTCCCCAAAGGCCCCCTCCTTTGTTCTCAGGTTCCCCTGTAGCTCTCCTGTCCCCAGAGGTCCCACGGTGTCCCCACTTTGTCCCCAGGGTCCGTCTGCTTTGTCACTAAAGCCACCCACGTCCCCAAAAAGGCTCACTGTGTCCACAGAGGCATCCTCAGAGATGACATCTGTGACCACAAAGCCGTTGGCCCACGTCCCTAAGTGCCATCATGACCCCAAAGAGCCCCTCCTTGTCTCCATAGACCCCTTCCTTGTTCCCCCAGACCCCCATGTCCCCAAAGATTCCCTCCCTGTTCCCACAGACCACCTCCTTTTCCCCCCAAACCCCCAAAGACCCCCCCCCTCGTCCCCAAGGACTGCATTCCTGTCCCCAAAGCCATCATGCTGCGTCCCCAAGTGCCGTCACATCCACTCTGCCCCCAACCACCCCGTGCCCTGTCCCCAAGAGCCCCCGCCTCCCCCCAAAAGCCCCCTCAGCCCCCCAAACTCCCTGTCCCCAAGGTCCCCGAAGACCCCTCCCCACCCCCCCACCCCCGCCCCCATGGGACCTGGTGGAGCCACGCGGGGGTGACGATGGCGATGCCGCGTGCCACTGCACACAGGAATTTGACGGTGCGGCGGACGCGGTCGGTCACCAGGTGGGTGCAGTCGAAGACGGAGGCGGCCATGGACCCCCCCAGCCCCCCCAGGGCCGCCTCCATCTCGGGGGAGGCCACCACTCCCGTGAACAGCACCTGGGGACGCCGTGGGGACACGGGTCAGGGACGGCTGGCAGGGGCGAATGGCTTCCAGGGGTCGGGGGACACGTTGGGGGCACTCAGTGTGTGGGGGGGGGGATGGAAAAGGGATGGCCTGGGGGGACAGACGGACACCGTGAGGTGACAGAGGGGGGACACTGGGGCCAAACCTTGGGGCAGGAGGAGGCGGAGCTTCCCCGGGGGCGGAGCCGGGACCGAGTGACGTCAGCTGGCTCCTCCTCCTGGGGGCGGGACCACGCCGTGAGGACACGCCCCCTTCCCCCTGAGCCCCACCCCCATGGAGCCCCGCCCTTCGATCCCACCAATCAGCGACCAGGATCCACACAGAAAACCCGCCCACCGCCATTTGGATCCATTCTGCTGCCATTTCCACCAATCAGCAGTCAGAACCTCTACCCAATTGGTGCACGCCCCGCCCCAATAGCCCCGCCCACCAAGCACAGACCACGCCCATTTTACACAGGCCCCGCCCCCCAAGCCACACCCACCCGTGCTTTCTTCTGAGAGGGGGCGTGGCCACCCCTCCGGGGGCGGGTTGCAGGCGGTGGGCGGGGCTCCTCTTGGCCACGCCCCTTCTTGGGCTCTGCCGGCGGAGGCCGGGCCAGGAGGCGGGGACTGCGGCGCAAAGGGGCGGGGTCTGATGCGGCCCCGCCCCCTGCTGCCTTGGCCCCGCCTCCTTCCCGGCTGGCTCCGCCCCCACGGCTGCGGGTCTGGCGCTGGCTGCGGCACGGCCCCTCCCCCACCTGTGGGATTGGGGGGGGGTCGGTGAGTGTGTGACCCCCAGGGGAGGGGTCACCCCGCGGACCCCCGGTGCTCTGCGTCCCCCGGGGGCTCAGCCCCACTCACATCCTTGCTGGGGGCTGTCAAGGCCCCCAGGTCGTCCTGGGCTGGCGTCACCGTGGGGACACGCGTGGCCTCGCGGCTCTGGGGGGGCTCTTCCTCCTTCTCCTCCTCCTCCTCGGGGTGGTAGAAGCACTGCGTCGGCTCCTCGGGGTCCCAAGCTGGGGTTGGGTCTGGGGGACAGCCGCCTTGGGGACAGGGAGAGTGACATGGGGGCTTGGGGAGGTGACACGGGGGTCCCTGGGGGGAAAAGCGGGGGGTCTGGGTCACCTACCTTGGGTTGGGGGCTGCAGGAAGTTCTGCGTGGGGGGCAGGAAGTTCTGTGTGGGGGGCAGGAAGTTCTGCGTGGAGGCGAGGAAGAGGTCCGGGTCATCTGGGGGGGAAAGGGAAGAGCCCTGAGGAGGGGTTCAAGTGACGAGGTGGGGATATGGGTGACTGAGGAAGGGGGGCATGGTGACAAGGAGGGGATCCAGGTGAGCAGGGAGGGGGGACAGGCGAGCAGGGAAGGGGATGAAGGTGTCCGGAAGGGGACCGGTGACAAAGTGGGGTCCCAGGTGACCACAGAAGGGACCCAAGGGACACAGATGGGACCCAGGGGACCATGGAAGAGAATGAAGGTGTCTGGAAGGGGACCGAAGTGACCAAGGAGAGAACCAAATTGAGCAGAGCCACCCCACTCACCCTCAGCCTCGGTGTCACTCTCTGTCACATCCGTGTCCCCATTGGGACGATGCTGCCCACTAGCAGTGAGGCCCAAATTTGGGGCTGAATCCGGAGATTTTGGGGCTGGAGCCACAGCTGTATCACTGCCCATCCTCAAGGTCTCCCCACTGTGTCTCTGCGCCCCATCGTTGGGTTTGGGGCTCTCCATGTCTGTATGTGGGGCTGAATTGTGTCGTTTTGGTGCTGTTCCTCCCACACCTCCATCACCACACGGTTCTGGGGGTAAACTCTGCCTTTTTTGGGTCAATTTCCCACATTTTGGGTTCATCTGCTCCACATCGGCACCGCTGCCCATCGCCACGCTCCCAACATTTGGATTTCGGGGTCGGATTCTGCTCCAAATGTGAGGAGTGGGAGCCACCTCCTCCCCATCGCTGTCACTGCCACCCCCAGGGCTGGCGGGAGGGGAAACAGCTGGATTTGGGGCGGTCACCGCCACATCTGGAGCAACATCTGGAGCAACATCTGGAGCGGAGGCAGCCACAGCATCCGAATCAATGAATCTCTGTGTTGCCTTGTGGGTTTGGGGGGCTTCGACGCCACCGAGGTCCCCCACATTGGTGTCACCGTCACCATTCAGGGCAACAACATCTGGGTTTGGGGTCTCCATCACCACAGCTGGATCCTTTGGGGCAATTTGGGGTGTTTTGGGGTTTTCCGGGTGAGGAACATCTGGATTCAGCTCTTCTCCCTCCACATCTGTGTCACTGTCCACATCCATGCTATGACCTCCAACCTGAGATCCTTTAAGGCCAGGATCTGGGGTCTCCATCACCACAGCTGGATCCTTTGGGGCGATTTGGGGCATTCCATGTTTTTTCAGATGAGGAACACCTGGATTCAGCTCTTCTTCAACATCTGTGTTGCTGTCCACCTCCAGCCTCTGACATCCACTCTGAGAGCCTTTAAGGTCAGGATTTGGGGTCCCCATCACCACAGCTGGATCCTTCAGGACACTTTGGGCCGTTTGGGGGTTTTCTGGGTGAGAAACATCTGGATTCAGCTCTTCTTCAACATCTGTGTCACTGTCCACCTCCAGGCTCTGACCTCCAACCTGAGATCTTTTAAGGTTGGAATTTGGGGTCTCCATCACCACAGCTGGATCCTTTGGGGTGATTTGGAGCATTTCATGGTTTTTCACATCAGGAACACCTGGATGCAGCTCTTCTCCCTCCACGTCTGTGTCACTGTCCACCTCCAGGTTCTGACCTCCCCTCTGAGATCCTTTAAGATGAGGATTTGGGGTCTCCATCACCACAACTGGATCCTGAGGGGCAATCTGGGATGTTTTGTGTTTTTTCTGGTGGTCTTCCTGGTGGTTTTCCGGGTGAGGAACATCTGGATGCTGCTCTTCTCCTTCCACATCTGTGTCACTGTCCACCTCCAGGTTCTGACCTCCCCTCTGAGATCCTTTAAGATGAGGATTTGGGGTCTCCATCACCACACCCACACCAATGAGGGGCTTTGGGGTGCTCATGGGGACCCTTGGATACGCAATGTCCTCCTCCACATCTGTATCGCTGTCAACCAGAGGCAGTTGCTGATGGATTTTGGGTCCCCCAACCTCTGGATCTGGGTCTCCACTTGGAGGGCCGCCAACATCTGGATCACTGCCCACCTCCGGTGCCTGTTGTTCTTTTTGGGGACCATCAGCCTCAATACTGGGGGGGGTTGGCACATTTTGGGTCACCTGGAGGGTGGTGGAGCACAGAACATCTGGATCCGCCCCGCAGTCCTCCACGTCCGTATCGCTATCCACCATCAGCACCAAAGGCTCCTCCCGAGGACCCCCAGGAGGTGGACCTGGGCTCTCCAGCCCTACTTTTGGAACATTTGGGCTCATCTGACGGTTTTGGGGCCGTTCCACACCCAGATCTGCTCCGCTTTCCTCCACATCCGTGTCGCTGTCCACCGTGAGCGCCCACTGTCCGCTTTGGGAACTTCCAACCCCCAAAACTGAGCTCCCCACCTCCACATCCGTATCGCTGCCTACCACGGCGACCTGAAATCCGTTGTTTGGACCTCGGGGGTCTGACTGCGGGCTCTTCGCCCCCACCATCACGGCACTTTGGGGCACATTTGGGGCTTTTCGCCGTATTTTTGGCCGTCGGATGGGCGGAAGGAGCTCAGCCTCCTCCTTGTCGGTGTCGCTGTCCACTGTGAGCATCCAGCGCCCATTTTTGGTGCCCCCCATGTCCGGATTTGGGGTTCTTTGGGCCACACCAAGGTCAGCGCTTCTCTCAAGGGCGGATTGGTGGCGATTTGGGTGAAGAACAGCAGATTTTGGGTGCTCCTCATCATCCGTATCGCTCTCAATGCCCAAACTTGGATCGCTGCCCTTCCACCGCTCCACATCTGTACCCACCACATCTTTGGGGCTCACACAGCGATTTTGGGGCTCAGCACCAGGATCTGGGGGCATTTTGGGGTCTAAACGGCGCTTTTTGGGTCCCCCGACGTCCAGATCAGCGCAGCCCAAAGTTGAGGAGGGGGGGAGGCGTTTTCGGAGCACGGGGACGTTGGGGGACACATCCGGCTCCTCCAGGTCGCTGCACGGCACACGGAGGGGTTTGGGGTCTCCAAATGAGGCCAAGGGCTTCAGCCCCCCTCCTGACCCCACTGCTGGGGCCCCACTTACCTCTCTGGCACCACTTGGGGGGAGGCGGTGTCTGCGCTGTTGGGACCTGCGTTGGGCAGCACAGATTGTTATTGTAGGGCCTGCAGGAACTCAAAGTTGGGGGGAGTGGGGGGGGGAGACTAAGAGGGCTCATCCTCCCCCCCCATATCACAGCACCCCCACCCCACTGCTGTGTTTTTGTAGGCCCTACAATAACACCGCCATGCACTTACAGCGCTGGGGGGGCTCCTCGTCCTCCGAGTCGCTGGCGAGGGGCTGCCTCGGCGCTGACCCCCACCCTGCGGGGACCCACATCATGGGGGGCTGCCGGACCCCCCCTCACGGGGACCTCCGATCCACAGAGCCCAGCATTCGGGATGGGGGGTGGGAGGGGAAGAACCGACCTGTGCCCCCCACGGCGCCGAGGCCTCGGGGACGCCTTCGCTGCATGGCCTGAAGGGTGGGAACAACTGCCCCACTCAAACAATTGCCTCCCCTTCCCCCCGCAGCCGCAGTTGCCCCCCAACCCCCACATCTCACCCCAAGTGCCACTCGGTCACCCCAAATCCAGCAGACCCCCACCCAGCTGCGTCCTCCATTCTCCTCTTGCCCCCCCCGGTCTCAAACTGCCCCCTCTAATCGCCCCCCCAGCCCCATATCCCTGGAAATTGCCCCGGTGACCCCACAAACTGCCCCAGGGACACCCAAACTACGCATGGGATCCCTCAAGCAGCCACTGAACTGCCCCAGGGTGCTGCTAACTGCCGCAGGGACCCCCTAAACCGCCCCAGGGACCCCCTAAACTGCCCCAGGGCCCTCCAAACGCCCCAGGGATGCCCTGAATCACCTCAATGTCCTGCAAACTGCCTGAGGGAGTCCTAAACTGCCCCAGCGCCCCCCAAAATACGCCAGGAACCCCAGAAATTGCCCCAAGGTCCTCCAAACTGCCCCAGTTTACTCACAGCCACCCCCGGGCTCCTCCAAACTGCCCCAGGGCCCCCCAGAATACCTCAGGACCCCCAGCAACCGACCTAGGGACCCCCCAGCTCCCTCAAAGGCCCCCCGGCCGCCCCCAGGCCCTCCCGATTGCCCCCTTCAGGTCCCACAAACTGCCCCACGGATCCCCAACGGCCTCAGATACCGGGTAACTGCCCCCCCCAACCACCCCACGGTGCTCCTAACTGCCCCGGGACCCAGGGAACTGCCCCTTCCGATGGCCCCAAACACCGCCGGACCCCCCCAGGACCCCCCGACCCCACAGCGCCCCACGGAGCGCCCCGCTCACCCCTCCCGCGCCGCCGCCTCCGGGCCCCGCCCCTCCTCCCCATTGGCCGCAGCCCCACGGAATCCCCGCCCACTCCTCGCTCCTATTGGCTGCCTCCCGCGGAAGGAATAGAGAGGGGGGCGGGGGCGGTCCTCCGAGAGTGACAGAGCGTCCGCGGCGAGCCATAGAGTGAGACGGGATAGGTAGAGCGGCCGCAGTGAGGGCGCCGACCAACGGGAGCGCGGAAGGAGGGCGGCGCCGACCAATGGGAGCGCGGCAGACGGGCGGTGCCGACCAATGGGAGCGCCGCCGTGTCTATATGAGCCGCGAGGGCGCCCGAGCAGCCGCCATTGTCGCCGCGCCGCGTTCCGCGTTAAAGGGGCCGCGCTTCGCCACCGCCGCCACCGCAGCACCCGGGGAGGGGGGCCGCGCTTCCGACACTTCGCCCAGCCCGACCCGAGCTGAGCCGCCGCCATGAGGGAGATCGTGCACATCCAAGCGGGCCAATGCGGCAACCAGATCGGGGCCAAGGTGAACGCCGGGCGGTGGGCGCCGGGGTGGACCCCCCTCCTCCCCCTCCCACCCCATTTATTCCTCTCCCCTCAAATCGCGGCGCGGCCCCTTTAAGGAGCCCCTCCCCCCTCCGCGCGCAGACAAAGGCGGCCCCGAATAGGGGCGGTTTCACCCCAAAATGCAGCCGCGGCCGCGCGCTGCGGGCTCGTGGGGGGCGACGCGGCCCCGAAATGGAGATTTGTGTCCCGAAGTGGGCATTTCCAGCCCCAAAAAGGCATTTCCGGGCCCAAAATGGGGGCGCGCCCCTCCCCCCCCCCCCCACGCGGGACAAAATGGCGGCCGTTCCCGCCTCGGCCCCGCGGGGCCAAAGGGCGCCGCTTCCCGTCCCCCGAAACGCGCCAAAACTGCCCCAAAAACGCCGCTTTCCGACCTAAAATCCGCCCCTTCCCGCCGCGCCGCCCCCCCCGCGTGTCGCACGGCCTGAAAACGGGCGAATTTGAGGCAAAAAAAGGCGATTTTGGGGCGGGGGGGGGAAGCGCTGCGCTGCAGCCGGGAGCTGAGGGGTTAAAAAGGGCCTTTTTTGTGGCGCCGAAATGCGGCGTTTTGTGGGAAAACGGCGAAAAAATCGGCAGCGAGGGGTTGTGGTGGTGAAGGTGCCACAGAACGCGAGGATTTACCCCCAAAACGGCCCTTTTTTGCCCCAAAACGGCTCCTTCCCAGCCCCACAGAGGCCCTTTTTGCCTTTTCCCCCCACAGATGCATTTTTGAGGCCCTCAATGAGGCGATCTGCCCCAAAATGTGGCATTTTCACCTCCAAATAAGCATTTTTTTGCCTTTCGATAAACCCCGCAGCTCCCAGTGCTGTTTTCAGCCCCCAAAATGCTGTTTTTCACCCCAAAAATGCCTCCTTGGAGCCCAAATTTGGGGATTTCTGCCCCAAATCGGGGCGTGTCGCTGCAGGAGGACCTGGAAATGGGTTTTTTTCCCCTAAAAATGAGAAATTTCTGCCCCAGAATGGGGAATTTTGCAGCAGGTGCCAAAACGGCACTTTTGGACCCAAATCGGGGCGGTTCTGGAGCTCCAAAATCGAGGATTTGGGTGAAGATGTCAGAATTTGCTGCTCCCAAAACGTCCATTTTTCATCATCGGAGCTTTGTTCCTTCAGATGGCTCTTTTAGTGCTGAAAAAAGGCATTTTTACCCCAAAAAAGCCATTTTTGGCCCCACCGGACCATCCCAGACCCCAAAATGGGCTTTTTTAGCCCTGAATTTGTTATTTTTTGTTTTTTTTCCCCTGTGCTGAAATGGCTCTTTTTGCCCCAAACGGAGCTGCGGCCCCAAAATGGAGGATTGCGGCCCCGCAGCTGCACCTTTGTTCTTAAAATCCCCATTTCTTCCCCCAAAACGGGGCTCATTTCCCCCGAAATGCACATTTTTGGAGAGCTGGAGCCCCACATGACCATTTTTGACCCCAAATTCCCCTTTTGCAGCGCAGAAATGGGGGATTTGGCTCCCAAAATGGAGGTGTGCAGCCCTAAGATGGAGGCTCCCATCCTGCAGCTCAGCGCTGCCGGGGCAGAATTGCCCAAAATGAGCCCGTTTGTCCCCAAAATGCCCTTTTTTGCCCCAAAAGTCTGCAGTTTGAGGTCGTTCTGCCCCGATATCCACTCCCACACCGCCGTCATTGTGGGTTTTGCTGCTCACTGTGCTTTTCTCTGCTCACATTCATCATCCCCGCCCCAAACGATGCGTTTTTCGGCCCCAAAATGGGCGTTTTTTCACCCAAACGCTGATTTTTGCCCCCAAAATGGAGCTTTTCAGCACCAGAATGGAATCTTTGTGCGTCCAGCAGCCCCAAAATGGAGCTTTTCAGCCCCAGAATGGGAGCTTTGTTTGCTGCAGTGCCCCCCCCAGCCAGCGCTGCTCCGCCTTTGTTTGCAGCCCCAAATTCCCACTTTTTCACCCCAAAACGGAGCTCCCCCTTCCCGTGTCTTTTTGTATTTCCCGCAGAGGCCCCTTTTGTCCCAGAAAAGCCCTTTTTTGCCTGCAGTTTCTCTTCAGTTCCCGGATTTCCTGCGCCACGGCACCGCTTCCATCCTGCGGCCAAAACCCCGAACCTGAATTTCCTTTTTCTGCTCTTTTTTTGCCTTTTTTGACCCAAACCTCAGAATCCCAAAAAGCTCCACCCCGAAGATCCTCAGATCTGGGCTGACGAGGCCCCAAAACGACATTTTTTCGTGTAATTGAGCTCCAGAGAGCGTTTTTAACCCTTTCCTCCCCGCTCAGCCCCCAAATCGCTGCTTTTTGGCCCATTTTCAGCACAGGGCGTGGCTGAACCCCCTCCCCCTTCCCCCCCATGTGACCTCGGGGGTCCCAGCAGCCCCTCCCCAACCTTTGTTCATTTCGCCCCTCCCACCCGGCTGCGTTTTTGGGCGGGAGGAGCCCCCAATTAACGCCTTCATCTCGTTAGTAGTGACTGATATGCAAATCTGGGGTGAGAAAAAGCCCGTTTGGGGCATTTCTGCAATTAATTCTCTGCCAGCCCTGCTGGAATTTAAATGCTGGTTCCGGTTCCCGCCCAAACCGTTGGGGGAGGGGGAGTGGCCAAATGTAGCCCCGCCCCCTGCGGCCGGCTGAGCCCCCGCCCCCTTTGGTTGGCCACACCCCCCGGGTTGATCTGCCCCCTGGGTTGCCCCCCTGCTTGGCCCCACCCACTTAGGGGTGGTTCTTAGCATAGCCCCGCCCCCTTTATTGTCCCTCACCTTGCCCCCGCCCCCCAGCTCGGCTTTCCTCTGTGATTGGCTGCTCCCATTCAGCCCCGCCCCCTCCTCCGTTACCCCTCCCTCTTCTTAAAGCTACAGCGCGCATTTAGGGGGCTTTTCCCACCCCCGGGGGTGGGCGGGGCTTTTCTGACCCCCCCTTTCCCTGGCAGTTTTGGGAGGTGATCAGCGACGAGCACGGCATCGACCCCACGGGCACCTACCATGGGGACAGCGACCTGCAGCTCGACCGCATCAGCGTCTACTACAACGAGGCCACGGGTATGGCTGCACCCCCCGCCCATCGTCCCCCCCACGGCCCCACTGCGTCCCTCTCACCCCCCCTCCTTCATTTCTTCATCTCCATCTGCATCTGAGGCCTGGTTTTATTGTCTCTGCCCCAAGACGTTCCTTGTTGCTCCGTGGGGGCTGGGGGGTTGGGTTTATTGGGGGGGTGGGAGTGTTAAGGGTTTGGGTTCCTTGAGGTGGGGGGGCTGGGGG